TTGGCGCCTAATGGTTGCTTCCGGCCTGTGTGCAACACCAACTCCAAGTGGAGTGAGAAGACGACTGACGGCTTCCGAGACGTTCTTCACGTACGGAAGAGCCCGCCAAAATTTGGGGCTAGTTGGATTTGGTCTCTGGTGTCCTTTTCGTATGCACTGGTTGACAAAGTTGCGCGGGTAGCCATTGGCTCTCATTACCCGTCGAAGATATTGTAATTCAGCAACCTTGTCTTCCATTTCACTGCAGTGCGTCTCAACACGCCGGTATAGCGCCCTTACGCAACTGCGTTTGTGACTGATCGGGTGGTTGCTATTGAAGTTCAGTATTTGCGTCGTATTTGTCGCTTTCCTGAACACTTTGGTTTTTAGGCCACCACAATCTTTGCGGCAGACGAGGACATCCAGGAAGGCCAGCTGATTGTTTTCCTCCTCCTCCATCGTAAATTGAATGTCCGGGAAGACGGCGTTGAGTTGTTCTTTGAAAGTCAGCACCTGATCCCGTTCGATGACGACGAAGGTGTCATCCACATACCGAGCCCAGAATTTCGGTCTGTGGTGTCGGAAAACCAGCGACTCCAGCCGTTGAAGGACCGCCTCGGCTATGAGTCCCGAAATCGGCGAACCCATTGGCGTTCCCTTCACCTGCTCGTAGATTGTTCCGTCGAATGTAAAGTACGTCTTGAGACAGAACTTCAGGAGCTGGATGATTTGGGCGTGTCCGAGGCGATTCTCCGTTTCGTCGTACTTCTCTCGTAGGAGTAGTTCGATTGTCTCGACTGCCAGGTCCTGCGGGATAGAAGTAAAAAGGGACGTGACATCAAAGGAAACCATGATATCGCTTGGCAGGAGACTTACTCCTTTAAGTTTCTCCAAGAATTGCGTTGACGAGCTGACTGTGGTGTTCGAATCGGAGGTCAGAAACTTGAGACGTTGGAACAGCCACTTTGCCAGTCCGTAGGTTGGAGTGCCCTTTAGTGACACGATAGGCCGGAGAGGAGCGCCCTCTTTGTGCACTTTTGGGAGACCGTAGAATCGGGCTAGGGCCGTTTCTTGTGCTCTCGCCATGCGTCGGTCGATTGGCGATATTGCACCTGAGTTCTCCATTGCCAACAGCGTCGCGTTAATCTCGCGTGTCAGCGTTTTCATGGGGTTGGATTCGCATGGCACATAGGACTGACGATCATCCAACAAGCTTTTGGCTTTTTGATTGTAGTCTGTCCTGTCCAATACGACCGTTGAACGCCCCTTGTCCGCAGGCACGATAACGAGGTCGTTGTCGGCCCTGAGTTCTTTAAGTGCATCACGCTCGACCTTGGAAAGCACATCGCGCGGCCTATGAGCCATGAGGAGGGAGGACACTTGGTGTCGAATGAGGTTCTTCGTTTCGTCTGTCGCTCCCGTCTGGCTGAGGATTGATTCCACTGCTGCGATCATGTTGGCAGGTTTGGCATCGGCTGTGTTGAATGAGGCCTCATGCCGTAAAACCTGCATTTGTTCCTCCGTCAGCTCCTTTGACGACAAGTTGTGCACCAGTTTGTCGTTCTTGGATGACATTGGAGCAGGCAGCTTACGAAATTTGCTCTCTAGGGCTGCTTCTCGCGTTGCTTTATGTTCGCGGGTTCGTTCGGCCAGCCTCTGCTGAAGCAGTTTTATGCCGTCCTCGCCCATGAACTCGCAGCACCTTGCCTTCTCTTGGTCAATCCTCTGACGGTATTTGCGAATCCGTGAGTGACAGTCTTGAAGGAGCACTCGGATCATTCGTCGGCCGTGCTGAAGTACTGCGCGTCTCGCCAGCTCTGTGTTGACCGGAGGTTTGTATGAAACGCACTTCGGCAGCACATTGTTGTCGAGACACCTGTGCAGAAATCGAATCTGCGCATATGTTGACGACTCTCGAAGGGCAAAGGTTTCCCACCGTCGAGCCGATCGGAGCGCTTCGCGCCCAAAAAGATTGCTGATAGAAGCGAACAGGCGAGTCCCAGGTAGCAGTTCAGAAGATGAAGATGCGATCACTGGGACAAGAAGTTTATTGGCCTGACGTTTCGGGTTCTCACTCGAGCCCATCATCAGAGACATTCGCAGATAGAGGTAAAGGTGGCACCAGGAATGCAGTATTTATAGCACGTGGCTGCCGTGGGACCGTATGCGCACTGCAATTAACAGTTCTCACAATCGCCGCTGGGGTCGTAATTGATGCGGCGGTGGCTTGGCGGTCCGAGTCCGAGTTGTTAATTGCCGCGATTTCGTCATCCGTGCTCGATGCTGGTGTGACGATTGCTCGGCAAACTGGCTTACTGTCACCGTGATAATTGCCCACCCGCGCCCTCCCCACGTGACAGATTCTCCTGCTCAGGGAAAATCGCAATACGGAATAGGCCACCGGGAGGTCATTGTGTTTGTTGATGGATTGAGGGCCTGAGAACCATGACTCGAGCAGCTCGCGGCTCACGCGGTTGTCACCCCTTGCGAGGATTTCGGCCTCTTGAAATTTGAAATTATGGCCGGGTCCCGTCGAGTGTGCCGCCACCTGAGAGTTAGCGTCTCCCCGCCTCACTGCTGCTGCGTGCTCGGCAAGTCGCGTACGGAGTAATCTCCCAGTTTCTCCGACATAATTGCTTTGTCCGCAACTACACCAGGTCCGGTAAACGACTCCAGACGTTTCCTGCCGTGGCAGCGGGTCTTTTGGCCTCATTACTTGGCGTCTAATGGTTGCTTCCGGCCTGGGTGCAACCCCAACTCCAAGTGGAGTGAGAAGACGACTGACGGCTTCCGAGACGTTCTTCACGTACGGAAGAGCCCGCCAAAATTTGGGGCTAGTTGGATTTGGTCTCTGGTGTCCTTTTCGTATGCACTGGTTGACAAAGTTGCGCGGGTAGCCATTGGCTCTCATTACCCGTCGAAGATATTGTAATTCAGCAACCTTGTCTTCCATTTCACTGCAGTGCGTCTCAACACGCCGGTATAGCGCCCTTACGCAACTGCGTTTGTGACTGATCGGGTGGTTGCTATTGAAGTTCAGTATTTGCGTCGTATTTGTCGCTTTCCTGAACACTTTGGTTTTTAGGCCTCCACAATCTTTGCGTCAGACGAGGACATCCAGGAAGGCCAGCTGATTGTTTTCCTCCTCCTCCATCGTAAATTGAATGTCCGGGAAGACGGCGTTGAGTTGTTCTTTGAAAGTCAGCACCTGATCCCGTTCGATGACGACGGTGTCATCCACATACCGAGCCCAGAATTTCGGTCTGTGGTGTCGGAAAACCAGCGAATACAGCCGTTGAAGGACCGCCTCGGCTATGAGTCCCGATATCGGCGAACCCATTGGCGTTCCCTACGTGAAGAACGTCTCGGAAGCCGTCAGTCGTCTTCTCACTCCACTTGGAGTTGGGGTTGCACACAGGCCGGAAGCAACCATTAGTCGCCAAGTAATGAGGCCAAAAGACCCGCTGCCACGGCAGGAAACGTCTGGAGTCGTTTACCGGATCTGGTGTAGTTGCGGACAAAGCAATTATGTCGGAGAAACTGGGAGATTACTCCGTACGCGACTTGCCGAGCACGCAGCAGCAGTGAGGCGGGGAGACGCCAACTCTCAGGTGGCGGCACAGTCGACGGGACCCGGCCATATTTTCAAATTTCAAGAGGCCGAAATCCTCGCAAGGGGTGATAAACGCGGGAGCCGCGACCTGCTCGAGTCATGGTTCTCAGGCCCGCAATCCATCAAAAAGCACAATGACCTCCTGGTACCATATTCCGTGCTGAGATTTTCCCTGGGCAGGAGAATCAGTCACGTGGGGAGGGCGCGGGCGAGCAATTATCACAGTGACAGTGAGCCAGTTTGCCGAGCAGTCGTCACACCAGCAACCAGCACGGATGACGAAATCATGGGCATTAACGGCTCTGACTCGAACTGACAAGCCACCGTCGCATCAATTACGAACCCAGCGATGATTGCGAGAGCCGTTAATTATAGTACGCATATGGTCCCACGGCTGCCACGTACTATAAATACTGCACTCCTTGTGCAACCATTACCCCTATCTGCGACTATGTCTGATGATGGATTCGAGTGAGAATCCGAAATGTCGGCCAAGAAACTTCTTATTCCAGCGATCACATCTTCGTCTTCCAAGATTTAGAGCAGTTAACTGACCCTCTATGTGCAATTAAAGGTGACAGTCTTATAATGCATCACGGACCACTTACCAGGAAAACCCAGCTGAAGACGGCGTTCTGAACGTCCGACGGTTCGCGTACCCAACGGCACTCCGAAAACCCCACCTCACCCTTGGACTAGTGCTTTCAGAGTATGCCATAACTGACGCCTACTGTTCGATGCGCGACTCGATTTCCAGCAGAATAAGACCTACTTGCAGGACTCACGTTTGATGGTTTATACTCTAGGCAACCGATAAGTGCTATTTTCTGTAGGACAGTTTACGCTTGTTCCATATCGTAAGGAGTAATAATGCTGCGATTAGAGTCCTTGTAGAAAGGGACATATTTTGGTTTTTATTAGTTATTGCGAATATGTAAACTAGATTTTGTGGGGTTGTGAGCATTCTAATGGAAGGATTCATTTGTTTCTGTATCCTCGCTTGTTCCCACCGTAGACTTCTGACCCAAACCACTTTTCAAGATTGGAGTCCGTGCATTCAGTTTCCCCAGGGGAGAAAAAGATGTCATCAAGCTGATTTTAGAACACAGGCCGTAGTTACTACTGCTACTGCTGCTCCTCCTGCTGCTGCTCCTTATCCTGCTCCTGCTCCTGCTCCTCCTCCTCCTCCTCCTCCTCCTCCTCCTCCTCCTCCTCCTCCTTCTTCTTCTTCTTCTTCTTCTTCTTCTTCTTCTTCTTCTTCCTCTTCTTCCTCATCCTCCACCACCACCACCACCACCACCACCACCACCACCACCACCACCACCACCACCACCACCACCACCACCACCACCACCACCACCACCACCACCACCACCACCACCATCATCACAGCCAAACCCCACGTAACTCCTCTGTCGCTCCCGTCCGGATATAACACTCCCAATTGACATTTTCCGTATCAATAATAATAAAATTACACTCAAGGGAGGCTGACATGTTTGGCTCTGGCCGCAGTAAGCCTTTTCACTCAGTTTACAACAGCTTCGCCTACGCAATCCCACCGCAATCTGGTTAAATGCATAACTTTTCCTGTGATTTACATTTAAAGAACCGGGACGAGTAGGAGACATTTAATCAGTAGGCGTTCTACGCCCACTAACATCTAAGCGAGCCAGCTTAGCAACCATAGGAAATTTGTTATTTTCGTAACGCGCACTCTCGTGTGCGGCTTTTAATGTGCTGCGGAATACGCCCAAATAGTTTTCAGTCTGCTGTAGGCAATGCCGCTAGAGTGTCCAAAAAGTATGGCAATTTTAGAAGCGCAGAGATTAAAAAAGTTGGCCATTTCGATTGCGCCGGGGTTGGGGGGGGGGAGGGAGAGGGGAGTCCACCTGATCGCAACATATTTCGGCGCCGCCTACGGCCCATGTTTACGTCGGTATCGGTTGAGCTCTTGTAGAAAGGCCAAGCTTCCACTTTAAAGGTAGACCGGACATAGACGGCGCAAGTCTGGAAGAGGCCACGCTTAAACCGGGGAGAAAGGTGTGGCGAATGTTCTCTACCCCGTTGGTGCTCCATTAGCATTCGAAGCCGCACTTTGCTTAGTGCTAGGATGGATTATGCACTTTCTTTAGGCACTAGAGTGGACAAATTTCCGACGAACAGGCGAAAAATGTAAAAAGTAGGGCGGAGTTTTATTGCGAGGGACCTAAACAGGAAATATGTGAAAAGAGAGACTTGAGTGCACTACATTGGTAAAAACTAAGTCCGCCATCTGTCCGAGGAAGTAGTTTCAAGTCCTTTGTAATAATTTTAATGGAGAGGAGGTAGGTCGTCCGGATGAATTCTGCCGAATATTTCGTTTTTTGTGTTAAAGTAATCCACAGCGTTGAAAAAAATATATGCCCACTGTAGTGCAAGATCAAATAAAATTAAAATAATTAAGTACCGATCTGCTGAGCTCTGCCCGGTAAACAAACAGATTCTGGTTCTGCTTGCGTCACTGTTCGTCTGCAGCGGCCAAAATCACAATAGTTTCCGACATTATAAACGTCCTTAGTTGTGACGTTCCACATTTTTATACGGACGAAGACATGACGGCAGTACAAAAGACCGGACTAAATTATGCGGAAGACGTCTTTGCTAAAACAGTCCTCAACTTTAGTTAACTTAGCAACTGTGTTGAAAATAACATAATCAGAGTGTTGACAGAGTTCTCATTATATACACAAAATGGTATGCTTACGATTGTATTTGCCAATCATATTTAAATTTCATAGTCACTGACCAGCCTCTCATCGTGCGACTTTGTGGAAATTCTTATTTCGGTGACGTCTCCATCAGCAACATCAAACGAAATGCCCTTTGCTTTAATCATCCACATCTCGGGGAATAGGAAACGGAAACTTGCATCGATTTTGCGCAACAGGATCTCGAACTACATGGTCGGACACTACGCAATCGACGCCGTGCCAGACTTCATACAACACTAGTTCTTTGACAGTAGTTAACGAAAGTGGGCGAAAACTACAACTTTAAAAAGTCACTGTGCATATACCGCTTTATGAAGTCAGATATTTACGTAGACGAGCAGTTTTGTGTTCAGAATCAAAAGGCTGTATGAAAGGGTCTGTCAGCATAATTAGTCACAAAAACCAGGCAGAATTCAGAAAAGAAAGAAACAAAGTTTGGCAAAACCCGATGTCTAAATCAGGTGTCAGCGATGTAAAAACGGCGCGCTTTTTCAAACTGCATCCAAATCGAAGAAATGTTAAGTGGAGTGCAGCCGAAGTCGATATCGCTGCCAAAGATTCCTTACAATAGGACCGTTTCTGCTCTTAAAAAATCATGTAAATATGTGATGAATCAAGTCAAAAAACTAAATTTCACCGAGGGATGAATAGAGGATATTTTTTCCGTCGAAAAGCGTGGTCTGAGACGGGAGGGCTGACTTCTGTCAGCTTTCTTACTGAATTCTGAGAAAGTTTACTGATTACCTTCTCAACAATTTCGGCTTTAGGATAATTTCATATGGCATTAGTTCTTGAAAGACATTTAATGACAATGTGTGAAAAAGAGTAGTTTTTGAACGTTACTGAGTAAAGATAGATTGAATGCTTTCGAGACTTGGGACTACTAGTTAAGCACGAATTTCCGCGTTTTCGACACTCTCGCTTTTTCTCCAATCGACAAAATGGTACTTGTAGTGTTTATTTAACACTCTTATTTATCTGGAGATTACTCAATACTGATTTGGAGCTTTGGTGGACTTATTTGGACGGCATTCAGAATGGTAAGTGATTGTTCGTTAATTGAGGCATATTTCATGAACTACACCATCAACATTGCTCGGAAAATACAAACAATTATTTCGGAAGAAAGCTGGATTCTGACAGTCATTTCAATCAGCAGTGTCAATGTGTGCGTAATTTTCCACCATGCATTGGGAATCAGCACTCCGCACAGCCAGTGTCCTGCCCAAACTACCAGTGGAGTTCTTCGGAAGAAGAATCATCCAATGGAAAATGAGATGAATTTTTAGGCAGTTCCAAGAGCAGACCGAAAACAGTTATATTCCTCACTGCTGCTCAACTTGGCATAACGGGAAATATTTTAAAGAACCCGATTACCAATTCTCTGTGAAGGGACTATACGGCGTGGCAATTCAGTTTATTCTAGCAACAAGCGTTCTCTACCTGCACGAGATCTCTCATTTTCCGAGTGGTTGCAGACAACTGGGAAATAAGCCATCTGGTCAACTGACAGAAAACAAGGAATGGGTGGTTTTTTCCTTACACGCTCTTGGGCGATTTGCGTAGTGGCAGAGGAATGATTGGAAAACGGTCGGAGGTGAAGAATAAAAGAAAAGCAGTCAAAAGAAACAGACAAGCGGTTTGCGTAAAAAATAGGATCAGAAGACAGAGGGAGAGGTCGGAATTGCGTCTTACTGTCAGGTAGGATCTGAGGACGGCTTCGCCTTTGTGGTTAGGAATGTCAGCAGCTGCGGCCGATATGAAGAGAGAGAGGTTATGGGCGACAGGCGGTCTAATTACAAAGTCCCTTTAGTTATCACTCTGTCAAATAAGCTAACGTCGGCCAAACTATGCAAATAAACATATTGGACCGGGTAACATTTGTCATCTGGCCCATGTAAGACCCGCTTCTTAGACGTGTAGCGAATTATAGTGAAATAGCCCCGAAGATTGTTAGAAAACTTATCTAGAATCATATTTTTATCATCGTGTCGTTTTTTAAGGAAGAGGCGGCACTATTTAATTGCTAATATCAGTAGACATAAGATTTTCCCGGCATACTTCCTCATTAATAGGATGGTTAACACATTTCTCACAGTTTATTCGGGAACGCTAATTTCTGGACCTGATCGTTAATATTTTTCCCCTAAATCTGATAGGTTGTAATGGTCACATTTAACGGAATTTTGAGTATTCATGCATAAATATGAAAGCATCCCAACGTCATGTCTGATCAGACAAAAAACACAAAACGTTGCCTGGTTTATTGGCAAATCCTTCAACAACAGAACTGTTGGGAAGTTTTTCAAACATTGGATTTTGTTGCCGGTGTTCGTTTACTCGTGTAAGTACATATGTTTCCTGGGAATAATTGTGTCGACAGTCTTTTCATTAAGGTTTTTTTGTGTCTAACTTGTCTTTGCTTTTAGCCGAGAACATCAACTAGGAACAACTATTTGTTGATCTGTTCGATCAAAGTCCATTGGTCTAATAAAGTCTAACTGGAGAAATAGCGGGATGTTCCAGTTGTCTGAATTTTCGGAACCTACAGAAAAATCGAAAGGTACTGAGACTTGAAAATTTAGCTTAAAATGCTGTGATTGGAATTTGGAATCGGGCCTAGGGCATATTTAAGAACGCAAGATTTCGGTTGATTAGTATACTTCGTTCTACCGAGTGGAAGCTTGGGTGTACTACAAACAGGTTTTTTCAGAGTTCACCCTCGTTTATTGGCCTAGTAGCTGCCAAGAATGATTGAATCATCACGCAGAGGTGCGACCTTTACTGTGCATACGGTTCATGAATGACGCCTGCATCTGATTTCGACTACCCGGAGTAGGCTCTGGCTAGTGCTGACCGTGTAGAATCGACTAAGACTTAAGATTTACAATAATACTGCCGAAGATGATGGAGATGAATGAGAAGACTATTTCCGACTAATTGGTCTTCGTCATTCTGCCATTCCCGAATTTTAACTTAAATTTCCAAATACAGGGAAAGACTGTGGTTACAAAATGGGCAGAAATGGTTTTCTTTACTCTATGTTTTTGAGGCCATTACTTTTTATCATTCTTCAGTGCACAGTAATCTTCCCGGGCTCTAAGTCGTCCTCAGTGTCTGATTTTGCATGTAAGATAGATTGAAAAAGAATGATCTGATTTGGCGTAAAAGTTTAAGAATTGGACTAAATCTTGATCGGTATTTAGATCCCTTCTGCAACTGAGCGGTAAAATACGTCAAAATTTCCCTAAAAGAATAAATACAGACTGCTCGAGAACCATATTTTGGTCAGATGTGATTATGTAGCCGCAGCTGAAGTGAGCAAATCCCAGCCGCCTATAATACGATAACGGTGGTAATAGGGATTTGTACACGTGGGGCCGGGAAACGCACAGGTGACGAGGTCATGTTGTTGTACAGTGCGTGACCGACCTCACGAAATGTTGGCCAACATTCTGGAATGCGTATTTGATTAGGAAAGATTACTTAGGTGGGGTTGTGATATTGACTATCATGCAGCAT